AGTTCAAATCCATTACTGAATCCCTCTAGCAAATATTCATTTTCATAACTGTCTTTTTCAATTCTAGAATTTTTATTTGATTTCTTTCTATAATTTCTAACTTTTTATTGATATATTCTACTTGGTGAAACACTGTTCTTATATTTTCCTTTAGTTCTTAGTTCTTTAGACATACCTTCCTTTACTTCTTTGAATATATTTAAAATAGCTGATTTAACAACTTCGTCTAATAAGTCCAACATACTGGCTTCCTCAAAAACAGTTTCTATCCATTGCTTCTTTTCCTACATATGGGCCATATTTTTTTGTTCTTTGTATCTCTCAGAATTTTTTGTTGAAAATTGCATGTTTTAGATAATAAAATATTGCAACACTGAAAATCAGAATCTCTCCCTGTCACCTAAAGGTTTGTTGTTGTTTGGCTAGTGATTTTCCTAGACTATCTACAGATTCTGTATTCTTTGTCATAATGTGTCTACTGAAGTCCCAGCCTGGTTAGCTGAGTGGTCAGGTAATGGTTGGACCAAGGTTGGACAAGGCATTTCTTTAAATGCCTTGAACCAATAAGTCTCCAACCTCTGCAGAGGTACTCTTTGCATGTGTTGGGGCACACCTTCAATGTTCAAGTAGACAGTTTACAAGTCTGCCTTAGTCTTCACTTCCTGCCTGTATAGAGCCTCAAGGTCACCTACAGGTAAGAGCTTTGTACTTTGTCAACTCTGTTTTTGCAGTGATGGGTTAACTATGAAATTCCTTTGAGTGTTTTACAGGATTAAGCAAATAAATATATTGAGAATAATGGAATGATAAGTTTCTCAAATATGGAAAAGGAAAGCCTAGAACAAATCTGTGGTACTAGACTGGAATTTCCTAAGAACAAGACATTCTCTTTTATAACCACAACATAGTTATCAAAATCCGGTATCAGCATAAACTCAAAGTTTTTAATATAAAGATCAATAAAAAGTAAGTATGAATCTCTAACTCATCGACTGATGGCCTGGAGCAGTGACACCTCATTAGCAATGCATGTACATAGTATACTGATGTTGTTTTGAAATACCATTCGCTACTAAATGGAAGTAGGAGGGTTCCTTAAAGAAATGTCTGATTCCAAAGCTGGGGCAGGGAAAAAAATTAAGTGTACCTGAAACATCTTATTGTGCCAGAAGGTAAAGAAATGCTAAAAGAATGATAAGGACATGTCAAAAAGACACTAGGAATAGCTTAAAAGGACTCCTAAGGATCAAATCTGAGGTAATTTAAACCTCAAAATAAATAATGACAGTAATAAATTGTAACTCTTTGAGTAAAACAGGAATTCATTAATCTATACCAATATAAATGGGAAAGATAAAGCTCTTCTTCATAATAAAGTGCCAACAAATAAATGTTAAAGGAAAGATGGAGTTATAAAACCACGATTTGAGGAGCGCCTGGGTGGCTCAGTCAGTTAAGCATCCAAATTCAGCTCAGGTCATGATCTCCCAGTTTGTGAGTTCCAGCCCCCCATGGAGCTGTGTGCTGACAGCTCAGAGTCTGGAGCCTGCTTCAGATTCTGTGTCTCCCTCTCTCTTTGTCCCTCCCCCACTCACACTCTGTCTCTCATCTCTCTCAAAAATAAATAAACACTAAAAAAAAAAAAAAAAAATTTTGATAAACACAGTAAAATTAATTTAGGCACCATCAAAGGATATTAAACTAGTGAGTGTGATGAAGAAAATAATATCTATCCTTAAAGTAACTCCCACAAAACATCTATAATTAAAAAAAAAAATGGTAACTTTACAGTAGATAAAACTGAAAGACATCACCTCAAGTTAACATCACCAATCTTGGGATAAGCAGACATCCTGTGCCTGAGAAGGAAACATCACTTTTGTAGTACTCCTGCCAAAGTATAAACTTACTCAATCATGTGAATATGCACAAATCCCAAATTAAGAAATATTTTACAAAATAACTAGGCTGTACTCTATAAAAACTCAAGGTTATAACTGACAAAGAAAGACTAAATAACTGTGCTAAATTAAAGGAATCTGAAGAGACACGACAACTAATTGCAATGTGTAATACCAGATTTGACTCCAGAATAAAATTATTTAAAAAAAAAAGATATCATTGAGATCATTAGCATTTATTTTAAATCTGTAGATCAGATATTAGTATTATGTGAATGAAAACTTCCTGCTTTTGATAATTACATTGTGGTTATAAAAGAGAATGTCTTCTTCTTAGGAAATATACATTGAAGTATTTAAGAGTAAAGGGACATCATGTCTTAAATGTGCCCTCCAATTCCTTGATAAAAATAATAATATAAATATATAGGAAGAAAAACTGATAAAGCAAATGTGATAAAATGTTAACTGCAGAATCTGAGCAAGTTATATGGTAATTGTCTGGATTATTCTTGTAACTTTTCTATCAGTCTGAAAATATTTCAAAATTTAATTTTTTTTTTAAAGAAAAGTAATGGGGCACCTGGGTGGCTCAGTTGATTGAGCATTCAACACTTGATTTGGGGTCAGTCATGATTCCACAGTCATGGGATTGAGCCCCATGTCAGGCTCCACACTGAGCATGGGAACTGCTTAACATTCTCTCTCTCTCTCCCTCCGCCCTTCTCTACCCACCCCCAAATAAAAAATTTTAAAAAGTACTAACTGAGAACAATAAATGAATTAGATCCACATGGTTAATAACATTAAGTCAAAAAACAAGCAGCCTACATACCAGATGATACCATTTACTTAAATTTTTTTTTCAATGTTTATTTATTTTTGGGACAGAGAGAGACAGAGCATGAACGGGGGAGGGGCAGAGAGAGAGGGAGACACAGAATCGGAAACAGGCTCCAGGCTCTGAGCCATCAGCCCAGAGCCCGACGCGGGGCTTGAACTCACGGACCGCGAGATCGTGACCTGGCTGAAGTCGGACGCCTAACCGACTGTGCCACCCAGGCACCCCTAAAATTTTTAAATCACACAATATATATTGTTATTCATGTATGTAATATAGATTCAGTGTTTACTTTGGCAAAGGAAAAAGAATGGAAGGAGGGAAACTGGGTAATTATGTTTAATGTTACTATGTTATATGTGATAGTGGGTCCATGAGTATCTGTTATTTTTGTTTACTTCATTTTAGTTTCAGTAAAATTAACATACAGTGTTATATTAGTTTCAGGTGTACAGTGATTCCACAATTCCATACATCACCCACTGTTCATCATGGCAAGTGCACTCCTTTTTTTTTTTAATTTTTTTTAACATTTATTTATTTTTGAGACACAGAGAGAGACAGAACACGAGAAGGGGAGGGACAGAGAGAGAGGGAGACACAGAATCCGAAGCAGGCTCCAGTCTCTGAGCTGTCAGCACAGAGCCTGATGCAGGGCTAGAACCCACGAACCATGAGATCATGACCTGAACTGAAGTCAGCCACTTAACTGACTAAACAACCCAGGAGGGTGACAAGCACACTCCTTAATCCCCATTGTCAATTTCACCCATCATCCCACTGACCTCCTCCCCTCTGGTAACCACCAGTTTGTTCTCTACAGTTCAGAGTCTGTTTCTCACTGCTTCTCAGTCTTTGGGCTAAGATCAAGTGCAGAGTCAGTTTCTTAGTTTATCACTCTCTTTTTTTCCCCTTCACTCATTTTTTGTTTCTTAAATTCCACAAGTGAAATCATATGGTATTTGCCTTTCTCTGGCTTACTTAATGTAGCATTATACTCTCTAGTTCCATCCATGTTACAGCAAATGACAAGATCACATTCTTTTTTATAGCTGAATACTATTCTATTGCATATATATATATATATATATATATATATATATATATATATATATATATCTTCTTTATCTATTCATCTATCAATGGATACTTGGGCTGCTTACATAATTTGGCTATTGTAAGTAATGCTGCTATAAACATGAGGTGCATGTATCCCTTTGAATTAGTGTTTTTGTATTTTGGGGGTAAATACCTACTAACGCAATTACTGGATCATAGGGTGATTCTACTTTTAACTTTTTGAGGAACCTCTATACTGTTTTCCACAGTGGCTGCACCAGTTTGCATTCATGGGTATCTGTTATTATGTTTCCACTATTCTGTGTGTAATTATATAAATTATAATTAATATATTTAAAAAAAAACTTTTCACAATTCAAAGTATCTAAGACCCAAAATGCCCCAGTATAGCCACAAACCAAATGGTTTCTAACAGTATTTGGCCCTAAGCCCAAAGATGGAGACATATACAAAAAAAAAAAAAAAAAGACACCCAAGGTGTCTATCTCTTCAGCCTCTCCTCAAGTCTATGCTTAATTTTGGTCATTTTCCTCATAAAGATTATTCTTCCAGATTTCATAAAAGTATACAAATACAGCAGGTCCAAAGCACTATGTACTTCAGTCTTGTAATTAAAGAAAAGCTCCTTATCTTTTTTAACAACCATTTGTGGAATAAATAATGATTACACTATCAGATTCAAATTCCTTTAGTATAAAAATTCTCATTTCCCTTTCAAATTCAGGAAAAGAATATCTATGTATCGCATATGATTATACATTGTAGCAGAGACTTCTAGTAAGTGAAACCTGTTTCCTCTTCTTCCTAGATATAGTTAGACTATATATCCCAGCCTCCTTGGAAGTTAAGTATGGCCATGTAACTGAACTTTAATACCAGATTTGGCCACGAAATCCTCCCACTAGCAGTGGGATTTTCCCCTTCTGCCAGCTGGATACAGATGAACCGAAGCCCTTTGATGATGAAAGTAACAAATGGAATAAGCATGCATCCCTGAATCTCTACACAGAGGAAAGTCTCTTGTCCACAAGGAACACTCATGTGAGTGAGGAAAAAAAGAATTTCTGTTAAGCCATTGACATTTGAGGGTCTATTTATTACTGCAGTTAGTGTTACATTAACAGATGCATAATTATAAACAATCTTCCAATTTTTAATAGGAAATGCATTATACTTACAAATTGAGGTTTATAGTATGCTGGACCTAGTGTGCTGTCACTAGCAGGTGGAAAATGTTTTATAATACTGCCATCCTCATTAATATCATATCCATATGATCGTCCACAAGAAGGAATCGAAGGAACATCAACACTTCTGGAAACTGTAGGTGACCTTGAAAATGTCTGTAAGAAAAAACATTTTCTATTATTTGCTTGGAAGCAAGAGAAAGAATGAAGAACCAAATATTAAAATTACTAAAATGCAATTATTAAATATTGACTTAATAAGTTTCATAATATAAACCAAAAAGGTTTGTTCTATGGAAGTAATTTAAAGGAGTAAATTCAAGTTTCACCTAATCATACAAATTAAGATAATATATAATATTACTATTAAAGCCACGTTAAGAGGTAAGGAGTCCCTCTAACTCGGCTCAGTTATTTATCTTGCTTAGTAAACAAGTATTTCTGATGCTTAGAATAGGCATTCACTCCTACAGTCACATTCCCAATCACCAGTTCCAAGAGGTTATTTATGCCATACTATCATAACAGCTGCCAGGCAAAAATGAACTTCATAGTTTTCTGTAACATTTCCTGGCTTCATCCCTTCCCAGTTCCAGACTTATCTCCATATTACCTATGCCTTGTATAAATATCCTAGTTATGCTGACTAGATAGCAAGGAAAATGTCTATGACATAATACTAAATGGAAATAGAAAGTAGACTTGATGACTATAGGTACATATATGAATTATACATAAGTATATATAGTAATATACATAAGTCATTTAATGATAAACTGAAAGGAGCTATGCAAAAATTAACAGGATCTCAAAGTTAGAGCCAGAAGTTTTAGGGTGATTATCCTTTTTTCAAAATTTCCTTTAATGTAAATTTATAATTCCTATAATGTATAATTTATATATATATATAATTTAAATAAAAACAAAAAGAAGTAACATATAGTAGAAATACTAGTATAAAATATAGCAAATAAAATACTGGCATTTAAATGATTTAGTTATCTGTAAAATTACTTATTAAGAATATATTGATAGGGCACCTGGGAGGCTCAGTCAGTTAAGTGCCCAACTCTTGATTTTGGCTCAGGTCATGCATGATCTCGTGGTTCAAGGATTTGAGCACCACATTGGGCTCTGTACTGACAGTGACGACCCTGCTTAGGATTCTCTATCTCCCTCTCTCTCTCTCTGCCCCTCCCCTGCTGCCTCTCTCTCTTAAAACTAAATAAACATAATAAAAAAACTTTTTAAAGAATATATTGATCCTTTGCTGTTTCTGAATAAATAAATGCTATAGTTGAGTACATGCATGCCCAACAGACAATTATGCTATAAACATACTATCACTGGCAGAATTTTACTTTTTTTTTTTATTGCTAGAGACAACTATTAAGTAGTTTCAGTGACACTCATGAGACTGATTATCAAATTAAAACAGGAGGTATTGAATGGCTTCTGCTACTTTCAAAAATTATTTGCATAACGTCAAGACTTTCCAAAATGTATCCCCTACCTCCTTCTCCATCCTCTATTCCTACTATTCTCCCTTATATCCTGTACTACAAATATTCCAAAGAACTTTGTTCTTTTCCAAACATACCTTGCCATTAAATACCTCAATGTCTTTATTCAGGTGGTTTTCTCTATCTGGAGTGTTTTTTCCCATTCTTCTTACCTATTTAGTGAATCATTCTTCAAGATCCAGTTCGATTGTGCTATGACTACTCCCTCCAAAAACTCTCTACGTTGGGCTACTAGTAGACATTTTATTATATGTTTATTAAAATAGCAATGCATCAACTGTTTTGTACTGAATTACATTCATTATTTCCCTATTAAAATATAGATCCCAGAGAGCAGTGATTTGTCTTCTATGTATTATCAGTGCCTAGCATTATATCTAGTATTCATAGTCACTGAAAAAATGTCTGATATTAGTTTCAAATGCACAATACACTGATTGACAATTCTATACATTACACAATGCTCACCACAATAAGTACAGTTACCAAATGTCCCCATACAAAGTTATACAATGTTATTGACTATATTCCCTATGCTATACTTTTCATCTCCATGGTTTATTTATTTCATAACTGGAAGGATTCAAAAAAGAAGAGAAAGAAATTCCTAATGTGTCAGTTAAAAAGCATTCATAAGTCTGAAAAAAAAACGACTTACTACTTTTCAAAAGAAAATATCACACAGCGTCACAAAGAAAATGCAAAAGATTAATGTCTAATAAGACAAGTACCTCCTTCTTAAAAAGACAAAAAAAAAAAACAAAAAAATGTATGATAAATCCTTACATAAGTAAATGAACATTTACTTTGTCCCCACACACAAAATAGCTGATATTTAAATATACCTAAAGGGGTGCCTGGGTGGCTCAGTCAGTTAAGCGTCCAACTTCTGCTCAGGTCATGATCTCATAGTTGGTAAGTTCAAGCCCCGTGTTAGGCGCTGTGCTGACAGCTCAGAACCTGGAGCCTGCTTTGGATTCTGTGTCTCCCTCTCTCTCTGCCCTTCCTCTGCTCATGCTCTGTCTCTGTCTCTCAAAAATAAGTAAATGTTAAAAAATTTTAATAAATAAATAAATATAAACCTTAACATCATTGTCATTGCACTGACATTATTCAACTGAATAGTTAGCCCTAAAATATGTTCCCCTAAACAAAGCTGATTAAAATTTAATTAATATGAGCTATGTGAAGGAGTTAGAGAAAGAGGAAAGACAACCACTCTAAATAAACCATGACCAAAATCTTCTAGATTATTTATTTTAAAGGGGTAGGACTTTGGTGTAAAAATTATTACAGAACACCAATGTACCTTTTCAAACATGTCACCTGCTAGTCTCCTACACAAATTTTTTACTCCACTTAATATATAAAACATTAAATCTTTTCTATTTTAACTAAAAGAAATATCAGAAGCATAATTTAAAATAGAACATACTGATTGAAGATGCTCTTTAACCTGTAGTGCTTTTCTATTCATGATATCTGATGCTCCATGATAAAAGTGATCATAGCTTGCTGGTCCTGGACTATCTGAAACAAACTTCTTAAAACGCTCCTCCCGGTTTTGTAGACTATGGCCTCCTTTTATATTATACTAAATTAGAGAGAAAAATATGAAATAATTTTAAAAAAACATTTTATAATTAATACCTATTTGGTAAATTTTACATATTAATATGAACAAACAGTTTTAAAACCCAACCTGAAAAAGTTAAGCCTCTTAACTAAAGATACAATTCTAGTAAAAGGGGATAACAAGAGAGGATGACAATTATCGTTTTAATTCTGACCTCAAACTAAAATTTACTGTACTTAGGACACTCTAAGAGAATACAAAACTCAGTTTTATAACAGGAATCAAGACATAGGAATCTTCAAAGTTGTACAGCAGGAATAAAGAGTATGTACTAACAGGCCTCTGGAGAATATGCACCTCTGAAATGAGCTTAAAAAACTGGTATTCAGGGGCACCTGAGTGGCTCAGTCGGTTAAGCGTCAGATTTCGGCTCAGGTCATGATCTCATGGTTCATAAGTTCAAGCCCCGTGTTGGGCTCTGGGCTGATAGCTCAGAGCCTGGAGCCCGCTTCAGATTCTGTGTCTCCCTCTGTCTGCCCCTCTGCTGCTTGCACTCTGTCTCTTGCATTGTCTCAAAAATAAATAAACATTAAAAAAAATTTTTTTTAAACTGGTATTCACACTGCAGGGAAAAATCAAACCTTCCAAGCTTGTTTAGGATTAATTATTTTCATGAATTATTTTTCGGCTACATCTAGGGACGTTTATGTAGGCTTACTGGCAACAGCATGGGTTTTTGTTTGATTGATTGTTTTTTTGTGTTTTTTAACAGCTTGGTTTTATCTCAAATTAGTTTTACACATTGTTTTTTGCAGAAGAGGTACAGGGAGGAATCTCCCACAGCTTTCCATGCCACATGTCTGGATTCTCCGGAATCAGAAATTTATCAACTCGGTAATAGTCAGTGAATTCAGATAAAATTCCATCATATTAGTTTCAATTAACAGTCATAGTGTAATCATTTAAAAATGGTTCATAGTAATAGTGGCATTTGATTAATCAGATTTTTTTAAGTTATTCACTTACCAATACATACTCATGGTATATAAATGTCAGTTGTTCATAATCACTATTAATTGAGTCTATCTCTAGTCTGCATCTTATTCAGCTGCTTTCAGCTTTTTAACATTTTTTTTCATTTTTAAGAATGAGAGAGGGGATGAGTGGGGGAGAGGCAGATAGAGTGAGAGACATAGAGTCAGAAGCAGGCTCCAGGTTCTGAGCTGTCAGCACAGAGCCCCATGCGGGGCTCAAACTCACCTACCCCTAGATCATGACTTGAGCTGAAGTCAGACGCTTAACCAACTGAGCTACCCAAACGCCCCTGAGCTTTTAAGAAATACCCAAAAGAGGGGCACCTGGGTGGCTCAGTCAGTTAAGCCTCCAACTTTGGCTCAGATCATGAGCTCCCGGTTTGTGAGTTCCACCCCCGTGTCGGGCTCTGTGCTGACAGCTCAGAGCCTGGAGCCTGCTTCAGATTCTGTGTCTCCCTCTCTTCTACACCTCTCTTGCTCACTGTGTGTGTGTGTGTGTGTGTGTGTGTGTGTGTGTGTGTGTGTGTCTGTCTCTCTCAAAAATAAATAAACACTTAAAAAATTAAAAAAAAAGAAATACACAAAAGACATCTTATGTTAAAAAAATGAATCAAAATTATATTTTTAGGTCACCAATTCACTACTTAATAACTGTTTTAACGAGATCATAATCCCTATGTTGAAAAGAGCTTGGACCTATAATAAAATTTAATGATTTTGCAAAAACATTAACATTACAAGTTAGATAAAAAGTAAAATCATGTGAAAGGAGAACATCTCCTCAAAACTTGATTATTTGAAAGCCATTACTATACTCTCTATGATCTTACATTTCACACTGCAGTTTGAATTTATATTGAACTTCAACAGAAGACAGTAAAATTAATCTGATTTTTTAACTGGTAGAAATTAACCAAGAATTTTTTTCCAATTATTCATATTTCATAATTACCAATTCTACTGATTTTACAAGAGTTTATAAAAGGAACTACATGTCAGATAAATACCCCAAAAATTATATTATGAGGTAACTATATATTTTATATGAAAATCTGTGAGAAAAATAGCCTTACTACTTCTTGGGTACTGTGCTTTTGTCTATATGCTATGGTTACTTGATGAATTACTATATTGCCACCAACCTCCCAACAATAAAGGAGGCAGAGTCTCATCTGAAGGGTGAGGCCATGCACTGTATCACATACAATATCCTATCCTTCAACTCTAGTGAGATGTATTTCTCAGATCAAAAGTAAAACAGGGGGGCCTGGGAGACTCAGTCAGTTAAGCATCTGACTTTGCCTCAGGTCATCGTCTTACAATTCGTGGGCTCAAGCCCCGCATCGGGCTCTGTGCTGACAGCTCAAAACCTGCAACCTGCTTTGGATTCTGCGTGTGTCTCTCTCTCTTTGCCCCTCCCCCCTCACACTCTGTCTCTGTCTCTCAAAAATGAATACACATTAAAAAAAAATTTTTTTTTAAGTAAAACAATTTGGACATCTATTACTAGGCCTAGGTAGCAAGAAATATGAAATATAACTATTTATCTACATCCACAGAAGAGATCTCCACATCTAGAACCAATCTTATGTAGCAAGAAACAAGATGGTATCTGCCATTCAGAGACAGCTCACAAACTAGAACAGAATTAGAACCAGGAAAACATAAGTGAAATCTGAAGTGACTCTTTGGAGTGGTTTTCATTCTAGGAAACAGGATCTGAACAGAATAAGGTATATGACTTAATAGGCTAATAAAATAAAATAAATTAAATTAAATTAAATTTCATTTGAAGTCTCCAAATAATATTTACTAAGTAATTGCTAATAGAAAGCAACATTTCAACCTATGCTTCCAAAATAAAAGTATTAAAATAAATTATTAATCGTTTGCATTAATCTCTAATAAGATTATCCCTTTAATTATTATTCAGTATATTAATTTTTTACAGAATTAGTATGCTAACTATGCCACATCACAAACGTATTTCCTAATTCAGTCATTTAAAATAATGAACTTTATGTTTTAAACAGTGTGATAAATTCATATTTCTTGAAGTTCGAAAAGTTCTGTAGGAATTTAGCCTAAAACTACCAAAAAAAAAAAATTCAACAACAATTGAGTAAATAAGTCATAGTCATCTTTTAAATGAAGGAAATCAATCTTCTCTTGGCATTTGTTTATAGTTTTAAGAACAAAAATAGAGAATACTAGAACTTTTTTTTTACGTCAACTATTACATTAAAAAAACTACATTTTCTAATTCCTTATTCTTGAAATCCAAGAAATAAATTGGAATAAAATAAAGTCTGATCTAAATTGCATTTTGCATTATTTTACATGTGGAATTCACTAAAACCGGTATTAATAAAATATCACAACACCCTCATATTTGTCATATTTAACAAGTTTGAAATCTACCTATTGTATATTTTATTCCATTCCCCTCTTCGAAGAGTGGAGTTACAGTCTTTATAAAGTACTACTGGTAGAACTAGCAAACCCATAGACCCATAATACGCTGGCCATAGGCCATGGAGTGGAAATAGGAGTGACATTTCCAATTAACTGTAATGACCCACTACTATTTTTTTGCTTTTTGTCCTCTAGGCATTAGTATTCTAGAAGTTTTAAGAAACCAGCATAAATGTCCCACTGAGTTGGAAGTTGAGACCATGCCTGGCCATTCCAGCTTCCTTATGCTAGAAAGCAGAAAACAAAATAAGGAAGTCAGTGTATTGGCTGAGGTGATTAACAATGGCCAGCACTGAAAAACAGGACTAATGAGGGCCACAGCACTGTGGTGGGAAGAAGACAGAGACACACTTTGCAGAGCTTCCTCGAACTATAATGCCCAGTGAAAATGCTAAGAGCAAGTTTATATAAAGATTTGAGAAGGACGCCTGTGAACAGAGCACAGACTTCTTAGAACTAAAGACTGTAGTCACCACATCAAGCTAAAAACTCCACCAGATAAAGTCCCTGTTAAAGAGACAGGGAACACAGAATGAGTAATGGAAAAATCTTAAGCCACCTACAGCTTCATGATCAGTTACAGAAACAGATCCCATCTGCATTTCCTTGCTTCCCATATCACTTTGTTTTCATTTTCCCCCTCTCTCTTTCCCTCTTCTGTTGTAAAATGGCAGCACTAATAATGGATAAAATTTATTGAATGCTACCTATAGTCAAGCACTATTTTTACATGCTTACTAACACTTAATTCTTAGAAAAATCCTACAAATTTAGTATCCCTATTAAACAGATGAGGACACTGAAGCCCAGAGATTAAGTAGTGAAGATTAAGTCTTACAGTTAGTAAGTGGCAGAGACAGATTTCAAACGTAGGTAGTCTAGGGGCACCTGGGCGGCTTATTGGTTAAGCGTCTGACATCAGCTCAGGTCATGATCTCGTGGTTTGTCAGTTCGAGCCCTGCGGCAGCTCTGTGCTGACAGCTGAGAGCCTGGAGCCTGCTTCAGATTCTGTGTCTCCCTCTCTATCTGCCCTTCCCCCTATCGTGCTCTCTCTGTTTCTTTCTCTCTAAAATGAATAAACGTTAAAAATTTTTTTAAAAAACAAAATGAAAAACAAATGTAGGCAGTCTAATTCCAGAGGCCACACTACTAACCACTTCTTTATAGTATCTCATGTTCTATTTACTTACCATTTAATCTATAAGTTGCAGAATAATGGAAAAGGAATATGAAAAAACAAGAGCAAAAATGGCCTTAATATAGAGATCCATTCGATAGTCACACTGTAAGACCATCTCTGAATGCAATAGCTAGACACTAGTTTGGCTCCTTCAGAGAAGTTATACTTGAAAATTATACATAAAATAATTTCATTTTTAAAATTATATATATGGAAAGAATTGTGTGTATGTGTAGTGCACATTAGAATGAAGAAAACTGGACAATCAAGGGGTAAAATGTAATGGAAATCTATTGTTTTCTATCTGTCCAGCAGATAGAAATCTTCCCTATGCTTTGTGGTTTTAAAGGAGGTTCCAAACACAGGATCCTCTATCCCAGGAACCATTGGACCAATCAGGTTCTCCCTACTGGGAATTTTAACACTGAGTGGAGTCACACATAAAAAACAGATGGAGTTCTAGAATTAAGTTCTCTAATGGCAGTTCCCTATTGCAGTTCTTACTTCTGACATACCTGGAATCGTCTTAGTCCTGTCCCTCCTTCAGACCTCACTGTTCAATTCATCCTTCAGGTCCATAAGTCACCCAAATACTCTTCCTATAAATATTATTGTAAATCCAGTATCTGTCTTAGAAATCTATTTTATTGCTTCCAACAAAAAAATCCTGATAGAATAGTTGCTATTATTAATTTAGGAAGTCTAATTCAACAATTAAAGCATCAATGACTGCACCTGGGCCTCCAACAGAGGAGATAAAGATCTGCTGGGCTCAACTAGGAGTCATTATATATGAATGCAAAATGTATGTGAAAAGGGTAAAAGATGATATTCATGATTAAGAACATATTGGAGTTACATCCATGGCTTCTGAACATGAATGGGTCATCAAAAATATTCTGGTCATAGACTCTTGAGACTGTATAGGTACAAGATGAGACAATGGCAATAGCTATAGCTTAAGAGTATGACACAAAAACTAATTCTTTCACTCTACTGCCACCCTCCTTCTACAGATGTTGATCATTTACACAACTTTCACATACCATAATTCATTCAATAGTCTTATTCTCCCATTGAAGAGTCTCAAGAACCATGAGGCATGTAACAATGTTTTATGTCTTATAGAATATACAGAATAATGGAGAACACCCAACCAGGCAATCAATATTAAATACATTTATTTTCTCTTATTCTAATAACAAAATATAGATTAAAAGGAGAAAGAAGATGATATGAAGGAAAAATAAAATATGATAAATGACATATTAGTCTATTAGAGGAAGAAAGCATGATTCTTATTAACTCAGACAATTATAACTATTACAAATTTACCTGTGCTTCTGAAACATTATAGTGTCCTGGACCTGGAACAGCTTTCTCAGTGTTAGAAGCAACAGTAAAAGTACTGTCTCTGGCAGCCAAAGAAAGGAATGGTGCATAGCCACCTATAAAAGTAAAATCATATCACTGGCAGATAAGATAGGGTCCCAGTGACTTCACAGAAAAAACATCCAAAATATATAAAATCATTTAGTAACTTCAGTTGTTGAGACTACATTTTCAGAACCAATGGGTACCCTCAGAAGTTGTTGCATTTTTTAAAAAATCTGGTGTAACAGCAGAATGTTTATTAATATATATTAAATAAAAGAACCTACAGAACTGGAATTCCTAAACAACAGAAAAAAATACTTAAAGAAATAAAAAACAAAAGTCCTTTTTCTTTTAGGTATATCTGGTTGAGATGAAAATGTCAGTTATGCTTAGCTAATAAAATGTTTTCGTCCACAGAAGACCAGTGTTTCATATTCTGGAATAGCACCTACTATTTGTAGAAAATAGCATATATAAAGTTGCAGAGACAGCTTAGATCGAAATAATTTAAAGTGAGTTTACAGCAAGTAATTAATAATGTCTCTTTACTTTGGTACATAGTTGGTACTTGGTAAATATTTCTTGATTACCTGACCCCAAATAAAGATTTACAAATCTAAGATACAAATTTCATTGGAAGAAGTAATCATAAAATTAGACAAAATTAATAAATTTAGTAGACACACAGAGTCTGCGAAAGATTTATAAAAAAATTTTAAGAAATGGAAAATGAGTATAGTGTAAGCAACACACATTAAAGAAGTGATGGAAGAGAACAGAGCAACTATCTTCAACAGGTAATAAAAGAATGAAAGTGACACCTCATATTTGTGTGAATCTTAAACACTAAAAGAAGATGTACAATACTGTGAGAATACATGGTATTAATTAGTGTAGTTTCAAATCTTGTTAATCTTGATTAAGGAAAAATATTAAGACAAGAAATAATGTGTTTACTTTAAAGCCCACATTTATTAAAATGCAACTGAAATCAAGAATTATTTGTTATATCACTAAAGAAAAGCAGCAAACCATGAAAGAGAACAAGATACAAATTTCCTTCAAAACACACAGATAAGCACACACAAACCAAGCCACAGATTATAAAAACATGAACAGTGCACACACCAGAAAATTTCTTCCAAAAGGCAGAAAAACAAGTCCCATAAACAGGAGGAAAATCACTGAAAAGAAACAGATCTATCCGTGAGAAGATGGAATTAACACACAAGAACATTAAAGTATCTATTATAAATATTCTTCATATGTTCAACAAGGTAGAAGAAAGATGAACATGATGAAGAGAGAAGATATAACAAGACCCAAATCAAACTTCTGAAATGAAAAGTGCATTCATAGGATTAACAACAAATTTTCTTCTCAACATTTCTTCTCAATTCTTAATCTCTTTAAAAATAAAAAAATTAATGCTTTATTTTATTTTTGGAGAGAGAACGTGAGCAGAGGAGGGGCAGAGAAAAAGGGAGACACAGAATACCAGCTGTCAGCACAGACCCCGATGGGGGGGGGGGGGCTCAAACCCAAGATGTGAGATCATGACCTAAGCCAAAGTCAGATGCTCAACCCATCGAGCCACCAAGGTGCCCCTAAAAATAACCATTTAAAGCAAAAATAATTTGTAACTTTCCAGAACGCTCACTGAAAAGCGGAGAAGCAGCGGCTGCCGAGCTGCGCCCAGCAACACATTCCTTCCCGCTCCCCCACACCAGCCTCGGCCCCCTCACCGCATGTAGAAAAAGGTAAAAGAAACTACTTACTATGATGTTTTGGGGGTCAAACTCAATGCCACCCAGAAAGAATCAAAAAAGGCTTACAGGAAATTGGCTTTGAAGTACAACCCTGACAAGAAGCCAAATGAAAGAGAGAAGCTTAAACAGATTTCTCAAGCTTATGAAGTGCGCTCTGATGCGAAGAGAAGGGAATTATATGACAAAGGAGGAGAACAGGCAACTAAAGAAGGTGGAGCAGGTGGTGGTTTTGGCTCCCCCACGGACATCTTTGATATGTTTTTTGGAGGAGGAGGAAGGATGCAGAGAGAAAGGAGAGGTAAAAATGTTGTGCATCAGCTCTCTTATGTAACCTTAGAAGATTTATATAATGGTGCAACAAGAAAACTAGCTCTGCAAAAGAATGTGATTTGCAACAAATGTGAAAGCCAAGGTGGTAAGAAAGGAGCGGTAGAATGTTGTCCCAATTGCCCGGGTACTGGAATGCAAATAAGAATTCATCAGATAGAACCTGGAATGGTTCAACAAATTCAGTCTGTGTGCATGGAGTGCCAGGGCCATGGGGAACGGATCAGTACTAAAGACAGATGTAAAAGCTGCAATGGAAGGAAGATAGTTTGAGAAAAGAAGATTCTAGAAGTTCATATTGACAAAGGCATGAAAGATGGCCAGAAGATAACATTCCATGATGAAGGAGACCAAGAACCTGGACTGGAACCGGGAGATACTATCATTGTTTTAGATCAGAAGGACCATGCTGTTTTTACTAGGCGAGGAGAGGATCTTTTCATGTGTATGCACATACAGCTGGTTGAAGCACTGTGCGGCTTTCAAAAGCCAATATCTACACTTGACAACAGAACCATTGTCATTACCTCTCATCCAGGTCAGATTGTCAAGCATGGAGATATCAAGTGTGTGCTGAATGAAGGCATGCCAATTTATCATAGACCATATGAAAAGGGTTGCTTAATCATCAAATTTAAGGTAAACTTTCCTGAGAATGACTTTCTCTCTCCTGATAAACTCTCTTTGATGGAAAAACTCCTACCTGAGAAGAAGGAAGTAGAAGGGACTGATGAAATGGACCAGGTAGAACTGGTGGACTTTGATCCAAACCAGGAAAGATGGTGCCATTACAATGGAGAAACATATGAGGATGATGAACATCACCCTAGGGGAGCTGTTCAGTGTCAGACCTCTTAATGGGGCCAGTGAATAACACTGCTGGCATTTTATATGCAGTAGTGAACGAGTGAAGGACTATAATCAGAGCTCACTACTTGCTATTGTTTTTGTTTTAATATTCAACTATAGTAGTGTTTTAAATGTTAAATGAAGAATAAAAAATATAAAAGCTCTGAAAAAAATTTTAAAATAAATAAATAAATAAATAAAGCAAAAATAATTTAAGTTACTGTGACATAGCATATATATAGAAGTAAAATATATGGCCACAATGGCACAAAAGATGAGGTGGGAGAAATGGAAGCACACTGTTGTAAGATTCATATACTATATGTGAAATGGTACATTATTATTTGAAGGTAGACTGTGATAGGTTAGAGATATATATTTAAACCTCAGAGCAACCGCCACAAAATAAAGAAGTGTAGCTAGTAGGGGCACCTGGGTGACTCAGTCGGTTAAGTATCGGACTTTGGCTTAGGTCATAATCTCAGTTTCATGGGTTCGAGCCCCATGTCAGGCTCTGTGCTGACACCTCAATGCCTGGAGCCTGCTTTGGATTCTGTGTCTCCCTCTCTTTCTGCCCCTCCTCTGCTTGTGCTCTCTCGCTCTCTCTCTCTCTCTCAAAAATAAATGTTTAAAAAGAAGAAGAAGAAGAAGTGTAGCTAGTAAAGCAATAGTGGAGATAAAAACAAAATTATTTTTAAAAAATAAACTCATTCAACGAAGGTAGGGAAAAAAGAAAAGAGAAACAAAGAGCAGATGAGATAAATAGAAAACAAATACCAAGAGAATAAATATAAACACAACAATGTTGACAATTAAATAGAAAAGTTCTAAACACCCCAATTTAAAAGGCAGAGATTGCCAGCTGGATAAAAAAGCAAGACCTAACTCCATGCTGTCTACAGAAAACCCTCATAAAACATAAAGACATAAAGAAGTCATAAAACATAAAACATAAAAACATAAAGAAGTTAAAAATAAAATGGAAAATATATACCATGCATCCATGAATCAAAGGAAGCTGGAGAGACTATATTAACATCAGACAGAGCAGATTTTAGAACAAGGAAAACTACAGAGAGACACTGCTTTCTGACAAAGAAGAAATTAGGAATATAGAAGAAGGAAAGATTTGAGAAGAAAGAAATAAGTTCAGTTTGGGAAATACGGAGTTTGAGGCACCAACAGCAGAATATAAATCAAACTGGCATGAAGCAATAAAAGTCAGTACGTTCTGAGAAATAAGGTGGGCAGCATGTGATTAAAGGACAAATTCTATAGCCACAGCTACAGCCACAAAACCAAAAGATCATTCTTCACACAAAAGCAGTAACTCCTGACTCGATTTCAGCTCAGGTCATAATCCCAGGGCCGTGGGATCAAGCCCAGCTTTGGGCTCCATGCTGAGCATGCAGCCTGCTTAAAATTCTGTTTCTCTCTCTCTCTCTCTCTCTCTCTCTCTCTCTCTCTCTCTCTCTCCCTCCCTCCCTCCCTCCCTCCATCCCTCTATCCCTCTCTTTATGCTCTCTCTCTCTCTCTAAAATAATAAATAAATGAATAAATAAGCAAGCAAGCAATAACTAGATCTTTGAAACATACTCATCTTCAGGAACATCAACATATCCAGTAAACGTATACCTATTGTTTATTTAAACTTAAATACAGATCGCATTTCCTGAGGTGGTCTCCCTAAATTCTGATTGGCTAATAACTCATTATTGGTGGCATAAGCACATAGTTATAAGTACAAAACCATAAACAGCTCATGCTTCTGTGGCAGGCAAAGCTAACCACTCCTCCATCAAAGAAGAAATCTGGGAGCCAGTGTTACCCAGCTTAGATAACTGATATAGAACCAATATAGATCATTAATACACAGCTAATGTACGGTGCCTTTATTATATAAATCAGGTTCAAAAAGCAGTTAAATCCTCCTTAACACAATAATGCCAGGAGCAGTCACATTACTAAAAGAACTATGTTTTTATCATATTTTACTAGGGTGGTTGTCTCTGAGGAAAATTTGCTTTGATGAGACAAAATATGCTTCCTACTTAGAGAAACGAGAGAAAATCAGGAATAGCTCTAACCTGGAATTGGAATATCCATTATCTCTCATATTCATGAAATCAGAGCAGCTCAGTCCTATCCCTGTTAGGCTGTAAAGCCTGGGTTGAAAGAGTCTTTCTGATTCAATGGCCAAAAGCTGGGGCAATGAAGTTTGCAGATTGGGGTGAAAAGAATTTCCTGAGGAAAACGTGAAGATAATACACAAGAGCATTGACCAAGCAGGCTATGGTAAGAGGAAGGGTTAAAGAGAAGAAAGAAAGGTTAGGAATAAAGAGCATTTGCATCTTTCTTTTGAAGATCTAAGACTCTAAGATCCTCTGCTCTCCTATGATTCAAGGTAACAAGTTAAATAAAGTCCCAACATCTAATATTCCTACATAATATTCTATAAAATCTAAATGACCCTTAATTGAAATAACTGTGTATATTTTTGCATAGTCCAGTGCATTACCCCAGAGGGGTAAGGCAGAATAAACCTTGGAAAGGGATAATAGCTCCTTTTTTTTTTACATTTATTTATTTATTTTAAAGGGGGAGGGAGATGGGGGGGGAGAGAGAGAGAGAGAGAGAGAGAGAGAGAGAGAGAGAGAGAATCCCAAACAGGCTCCACACTGTCAGGGCAGAGCCCAACCCAGGGCTCAATCCCATCTGTGAGATCATCACCTGAGCCAAAATCAAGAGTCAGATGCTTAACCAACTGAGCCACCCAGATGCCCCTATAATAGCTACTTTGAAATTATCCAGTACAGAAATGATATCTGCACCTTCTACTGATTATCAGTATGTGGTCACTGAGTATTGCTAAAACAGGGCTCAATAGGATGCAGCTGCTCGGAGTTGCCAAGCATAGAATTTCTTAGTTTATTTTACAAGTCAGAAAGGCACAATTCTACAAAACAGTAAAGGAAGACCCTTGTTGCAACACCGCACTTACTGCTAAGCAGAGTTCACACAAGTCATGTAATGAGTTTTTAACTCTCCTATGTGTAGTTCATTAGACCTTTTTTCTAACTTTATTCCAAGAATTATTGTTTTTTTTTTTTAATTAAGCCTTTATGTGTTATGCTATTGAGCTAAAAACTGAGAGGTACCAGTAAAGATCATGGTTATTGCCCCCCAAGAAGCTCACATTTTAGTGTGGCAGCCACATAAATTAACAGATAATTAAGATACAGTATCAAAGTGCTATGAAGGAGACATTAAGGAGTCAAAGAATGACCTGAGAAATCGTAATCAGAGAACAATTTCATTTCACCTGAGTCTGAAAGAAAAAATAGGACTCAGTCAAATGAAAAAGGAAGAAACAGCATAGTGGGCAAAGGTATCAGCAGCTGCAAAAACACGCAGGTGAGTAAGCATGAATTTATAGAAAATGCAAAGTTGGAACTGCTGATATGTATACAGGTCAAGTGTTGGGTGTGGGTGCCTGGAGAGATAATGTGGGAGGCCAGGTCAGGGATGAGACCATGAAGAATCTTATGCACTATGTTAAGTACATCAGATTTTAACCTTAGTGTTAAAAGAACTTTTTTTTTTATCAACTAACATAATTATATCTTAGAAAGATCACTTGAGCCATAAGAGAAAAGTTGGAGATTGAAATAAAGCAAAAAACAGCAATATTTTATTGGTTTAATTCAAAATAGAAATAATGAGGCCTGAACAAAGTCAAGGGTAGTCAAATGAAGAAAGGAGACTAACTTGAGAGACAATAAGAAGATAGAATCAATAGACCTTAATGAGCAATGGGTATGATCAGTCAGAGAAGAAGTCTAGAATAATTTCAAAGTTTAAGGTTTATGACTGATTGACAGGTAATTTTTCAAAGACGCTAGAAACAACGGAGAAAATAATGAATATATGGGCCTTCAGATGTCACAGACCACCCAGATAAAGATGTTCAAAAAATTAATAGTAGTAAGAAGGCCCTAAGATCAGAAGAACGTTCATCTTAGAGATATAAATCACCTATATCTCGAAAGACTTTCTTCTGGAAGTCTTCAGAATCAGAATATGGACAGTTCAAGCTATGGATCTGAATGAGAAATTATACATGAGAAAAGTAACCAGCAAAGGATGGAAAATACACCATAGAAACATTTAAAAGCATTGAGAAAAATAAAAACCTTTAAAGAGGGCAATGGAGGATTGGTTGCCAAGCAGGGGGGGGGGGGGGGGATGATTCCCTGATTCAGTGTGTAACAAATGTTTATTAGGTCCTAACCATGAATCAGGCACTGTTTAAAGACAGTGTCAAAATAAGGATTGAAAAGCATCACAGGTATAAGTGTTTTGGGTGGTGGTTGGTAGCTAATATATTGCTAGGGAGTTAATGCTTAGAACAACTCCACTGTATTAAATACAGACATAGGCTCCAAGAAGACTGATACAATATCAGATGCTGAAAATTAGTAAAATTCAAAATTAAAACAAGGACAAATGAGAAACCTGCACTCCACCCAAAGAAACCTAAATCAACCTAATATCCCAATCTGATCGGTCATATAGAGTAATGGATTCATTTAAAAATGTATAGTTCAACAACAGAGAAAATGCAGATTAACAAGGGAAAAACTACAGCTTGAATGGTAGTAAACTCCACAAAATCATCAGATTAGAAAAAAGCAGAAAGCAAATTAGAAATATTTGTTATGGGGGTCCTGGCTGGCTCAGTTGGAAGAGCATGCAACTCTTGATCTCAGGGTCCTGAGTTCCAGGCCCACGATGGGTGTAAAGGTGACTTTAAATCATATTGCTAAATAGAAATATAAAAGTTAAATCTTACTAAATAAAGTATCTCTGGTTAATGGTAGCAAATGTGTGTCAGGCAGACAGGACTACAAGGAAAAGACACAGTAGGCAGTAAGAAACACAGAATTTAGAGACTCACATAGTCATCAAGAGTCAGGAAATCAAAATCCCAGATCTAACGTGTACAATTTAAAGTTTGATGGGGACAACCATTGTACCATCTTATGTCCTAGCCATACGATTACTGACTTTGTGAAATAAGATAAATGATTTTACCAGTTACTGCCTATAAAACAAGGAGAGTATTTTCTCTGCCTAGTTCATGTTTTGTTATATTTATGAAGTGATACCATTATGTTTAACAGGCACACAGAAGCAGGGCAGGCGGAAAGTGAGGTGCCTGTCACAGAATGCTTGCCTTTCCCTACCTCTTACCTGTTGCCTGCCGCTTCAGGAAAGGTATCTGGTAGGACCCAGGACCCACATGCTCCTCAGTGCTGCCACCTTCAGACAATCTGAGCAAGCGGGGAGCCCGATCATACATAATTGCAGGAGGGAGGGGCGGGGCGGGAGGAACTGCCTCTGAAAAGGGATAAAAACAAGGCGACTAGAGAAGGTGTGCAGTAAAAGGTTACGACAGTCTGTAGAGGGAACAGAAGAGCTTGAGTAAATGGACGAGCTGCCGTGGGGAGCTATCTCCCACCTGCTCATTGGGGTCAGATTTCCCCTAGGCCAAATTCTAGCCCCGTGGAGTGTGACCAGAGATAAGCTATCCCACACAAACATCTATCAGTTCACCAGGCGAGAGGTGAAGCGCTCCGCCAAGAAAGGAGATTAAGTACGCGCCACTCGGTGTGCTTCCGGCCTTCTCTCCGCCCCGGAAGTCTTTGGGAGAGAGAGGTTGAAGCGCTCCTCCAACTCCGCAGCCGAACTCTCCAAGCATGCGTACTGAGACGCGAGCCCCTCCTCCCACAATGCTTCACGTCGGAGCTCACCGCCTAGTCAGCCGGAGGGCTGGGCGAACCTTGGATCTCCTTTTGAGGCGCCAAGTGTTTCAGGTCCTGGGCTTGTCGGGAAAACTCTGGAAAACACGTTAGACTAGGTTAGAGCTCACTTGACCATGATCCCTTTCCGCTATAAACCAGTTAGGGCGTCTGGGAAAAGACTACCAAAAACTATGAAAGAAAAAACCATTCTCTCGAAGCAGAGCCTGGGTTCTGCACGCTCAGCCCCCACTCCCATTCCAAATACATTCGCACCCGCAGAGGGAAAACACCTCTGACTTTACTACACAGATAATCCAAACAATGAAGAGATACTCAGGAAGTGGTGGTGAAAAGAAACGGTTGGACCCCAGGGAGGAAACGAAAAGCTCACCAACTGAAGCAATGCAAAGTTCAGGTAACTGAAAGCTGCTTTTGTTGTCACATGCCAGGCAAGGGCAACATTGACTCCTTACTCTTATTTGTAAAGCAAAGGCTTGAGAAAACAGTCCATCCTCTCTGAACCAATGAGTCGCTTAAGCTTAGGCAGAAAGAACCTGGCTTCTCCAGATGTCTTAAGAAATCTATGTCAGAATCCACCTTATAAGGTGTCTCAGGCTGGGTTTGGGGTTTTTTGGTTTGTTTTTTGCTTTTTGTTTTTCGTTCTTCCCAGCAAGAATCCTTTCCAGATTCTAATCACCCTTAAAGGCTGAAATAAGTCCTGCTTTGACTACGCCTTGCCCCCAAATGAGACACAGAACTTTAATTTGTACCTACTACAAATTTTTACAGTATTTAGATTCTGTAGAGCACGATCTGATGTTCAATTCAGTGGGTCATTTAGTATGACAGTTGTTACAGAAAGATCAGAATGCTCTCCATGAAAGGATAGATGCTTCCCAAGGATGTATCTGTAATACCTCTTTTTTTTTTCCTACTCAGCTAGCTGAATAATTATTTATTTACTTAAAAAAAAAAACACATACTGGCATGTACTATAGGTTCAGTACTCTGCTGGACTCTGGGGATACAAAGATGCAGGAAAGTTCAGCCTCTGGGATTCTGTATGGAATGGAGTAGGGATGTGTATTAGCCATAATATGAGGTGATGAGATGTATAAAATCAGAAAAAGAAAATATTGCAGGTCTTTGGAAACCACCTCTCTCTACTAAGAAGCTAGATACTCATCAGTGATCCTTTCTCACTGACTTCATTTTTCTCCTTGCATGCTTACAGACCCCCTCATAGTTTTTTAAAAGTTATTTAAACCTTATTTTCCCAAGGTTCCCCAGATACCCACTGAGATCTAGAATACACTTACTATTAGATTTTATGATACAGTATGAAGAAAAAAGTCACAGAGGTAAAAAGAGAAAAACCTATATGCTTTGGAGGATAATCCAGTAGTGCTTTTACATTAGCCTTCTATTGGTGGACATTCCTTAAGGACATCATTTTCCCTTGACCCAAACAAGAATATAAACCCAGAAAGCAAATTCAGTTTTAGGCCGTCTTTGCATAGACATGGTGCAGACTGGCAACCTCTTTCTGGCTGTTCATGTCTACCATCACCTAGCTTACTCTTTCCTCGGACTGATTTGGGTTTGAGATTGGGAATGGAAGTGATAAAGCAGGGTTTATCTGCTTTCTGTCTAATTTGATTTTTGGCCAGTTGAGTCTAACCTAATTTAGACAAAAGGAGTTCTTCATAGAATCTATCCTAGCTCATTCACAGATCTCTAAAGGAGAGTTTGTGACCTTAAGGCCTTTGTACCAGCTAAGAATACAGTGTTTTTCTATCTTTCCTGCCTCCTCACTATACGTTAGTTCCTCAAGGACCTCATAGAAGGATAGCTGATCAATGGCACAACTCTAATGTTACTGGGTCTTGTGGCCAGATCCTGTAAAATAACACACCTCTGTATCTAAATGCAGGTACAACCTCTACACTTTTTATAATTTTGTAATACTTGGAGGCTCTCAGAATCTACATTCTTAACATAGTCTTTCTTTAAAAACTTTTTAGTGTGAAAATCCTTCCTGTATTTCCTTGATCACTGTGGCTGTTCTCTCAACCTTTCCCAGCCATTATTTCCCTCTTATGGTTCAATAACAAAAATGATACACCATATTTCAGAACTGGAAGATCTTTTTAGAGCCTGGGTGGCTAAGTAGGTTAAACGTCCAACTCTTGATTTTGGCTCAGGTCAAGATCTCACAGTTTGTGAGTTCAAACACCGCATCAGACTCTGTGCTGACAGGCAGAGCCTCCTTGGGATTCTCTCCCTCTGTCTCTGCCATCCATCCCCTGCTCATGAGCGCGCTCTCTCTCTCTCTCTCTCTCTCAAGAATAAGTAAATATTTTTTTAAACTTTAAAAAAAAAGGAAAATCATCTTTAATTGAGAACAGTAAATATTTTTCATTATCTCTCATTGTGGTAAATATTTCCTGAATAGTTTAGAATGAATATGCTACAGCAAAAAAGAAATATATTAACGCAGAATTATAATTGCATATAAATTCAAAATAAAGAATTTGGCTCAGCATTTCTCAATTCCTGCAAAAATACTTTTAATGCTAATTTACTACCCTATACAACTATTTCTATGGTGTTCATGAGAAATGGAACCTATATTTGAACTAAGATTTACTTGACTACAAAATCTGGATACTTTCCATTCCTCCACATTGGCTGCCACTAGAATAAACTTTAAAATGAAGCTTTATTAAATAAAGTTGATTCTTTATCAAATATCTTAACTGCAATGAAAAACTTCATAGTCACCAATTTTTCCTTATAACATTTTGAGGATTAAGTAGATAACAGGTGACATCTGGAGTATTGCATGAGGTGTGGGAATTCTGCCTTAAATAGTCTTAAATACCTCATAAATATTATCAAGCTGAGTTGAAACTGATTTCTTAAACCCATTAGGACTTAGTTTCCATTGTTTTGCTTTTTGTAAAAATAAAAATCAAATGATGATAATAAATCACTTAGCGTGTATTATACAACTGAATGTATCTGTCAGTGTTATGAGAGGTCACGCTGTAAAATGATATGCGTTCAGGTTAAAATGGTAAAAATTTTTATTTATATAATAAGCTGAAGCTTACAAAGTATATTTTATGTTCAGTATTTTGTTTAATATAAATGTGTTTCTCTAAACTACAGACTTTGGGGGGAGGCACGGGTGGAGAGAGCACAAGCAGGGGAGGGGCAGAGAAAGAGGGGGACAGAAGATCCAGAAGTGGGCTCTGCCTTGACAGGCTGACAGCAGTGAGTCCAATGTGGGGCTGAATTCATGAACATCGAGATCATGACCTGAGCCAAAGTCAGCCACTCAACCAGCTTAGCCACCCAGGTGCCCCTAAACTGCAGACTTAATATGATTCTGAAATTACAACATTCCATGAAATATGTTTTAAAAATTACAGCACGTTATCAGTGATCACCTGATTTTTTTCACTTACATTTATTGAGCACCTACTATGTGCTTGCACTGTGTGAAGAACCTTATATAAACAATCTAAATAATTTCTCATATAACTCTTGAGGTAGGTTCTATTAATATCTCTGTTAATATGGTGACAACCATTACATTTTTCACCCAGTATCACATAGTTAATGGATAACAGAGCTAGATTTAAAGCCAGTTTGACTCTAGACCTGTTTTCATAGCCATTATGAGGGAAATGTCCCCAACTGTGCTCTACTATCACACGCAATAATTTTTTTCTCAATTCTTATTTGAGATTGGCTGTATGTTTATTTATTAATCTGAAAACGGAAAGTCCAGAGTGATATAGTGATAATATCAGGAGTGATATAGTGGCTCCTTCATGGCAGGGAACCAGGATGCTCTATTATGCTGTTCCATATCTTGATGTATGCCTCCCAGTCTGACATGAGCTCATGGTCTAAAAATTATTTGCTGGAGTTCCAACCATTATAAGCAGCAGGAAGAAAAAATAAAAAGTGTACATCCCTCCCTTTCAAGGAGGCCTCCTAGAAGAAACGCAGAAAATATGTGCTTACATTTCACTGGCCCAAACTATGTCAACAGGCACATGTAGATATAAAAGAGGGAAATGTAGCCTATTTCTGGGTACCAGGTTGTATTTCTCAGGAGAAAGGAGTCAACGTAAAAAGAAACGCCTCAGTTTTTTCCATAATCACCCTCTTGGGGAACTTTCTCCTCCTTTGATGTCCATGGTACCCTACCTTCCAGGTTCTCATTATACTTTATGGTAAGAGCACCTACTGTCTCCTCTAATTTTTGTTTTTCTCTCATCTTTCTTTCTCTCCCATCCTTTTCTTTTTCCCTTGGTAATGATCCATTCTCAAACCATGTATCTTCTTTGAGATTCATGTGTTTCAGGTGCCTGCTTAACATTTAAATATAAGTGATCCACCGTCACTTCAAATATTCTCAAATCTTAACTCATTTTTTTCTCTGGAATGCCAGATCATCCTCCTAATCTCTTTTCTGTTCAGAAGAGCAGTATCTTCCCATATATAAGCCTTAAACTACTTCTTAGACTACTTCTCTTCGTGCTCCCACATCCAAACAAGTGCCAGTTGTACTGTTTTCATCTCTGTGATCTTTCTGAAATCCACCCCTCACTGAATTCTCACTGTCATTTTGTTGATAGGCTCTCTTACTTATTTGTTGTATTCTAACATTTCAACTGGAATCCTTTTCTAATTTCTCTGTTGCAATTGATCCCACACATATAGTTAGATTAATCTTCCTAAGTACAATTTTGAGAATGTCACTCTCATGCTCAAAACTCTCCTATTGCTATGACGTAAGCTTGGCATTGGGTGTTTCAGACAAGCCAGTCTACTTTCAATTTCTCTATCTTCCAGTATCCCCCATTCATACAAGTTACATATTCAACAAACCTTGCCCTTTTCATCTCTGTGCTT